ATGATAAATTCTTAAGTTTAAAAGACCCAAATGAGGAAATGCAGAGAATATATATAGAGAAGAAACACTTCAGAATACAAACAGAAAGAGATAGAATACATTTCGAAGAACTTGCATCTTACGATTAGGAGACATCACCTGTCATATGAAGTGTTTCTATCTATAGATGGTCTTTGCTGGTCTCATCTTTTTGCTTATAGAATTATGAGACGAACAAGTTATGTGTGATCTTGAGAAGCTCGTACACTTTACATTTCTAGTCGTATAATGTGTACCGACAGCAAAGAGTTTATATGTAAGGATGTTAAAAGCATTACTTTACTGACATTAGTATACTTATTCCCCGGATTGTCCGAAGACGATTTTCATGGAACTTATTGAAAGAGTCCATGGCATTAAGTTTGAACAGACTATGGAACTATGGGAGAAGTACAAAGTCATACAGAACCTCTACTTCTTTCAGAATCATAGTCTTACGCAAACAAAGTTCAAAGATTGATAAAAAGTCAAGCTGAAAAATAAATGGTTCATCTACCTATCTTGTTTGAAGTTGTCAAAGATACGTTCTGTTATTTTTCACTGTTTTCTAGAGTTTTGGCGATGGGGTTTTTTACTTACTCGCTGTTCTTCACTGTTTCGTACGAATCTCTTCTCTCGGTTTTCCGAGGGAAGCAAGCATATGAGGAAATTCATGAAATTGGTCATTTTCAGCAAAAATAATGTTTAGGTGAAGAGGTGAGATTCACGCCGTTTTTCACCTGCTTTTCACTCTTTTTTTCACAACCGTTTTACATGGTAAACGTTATTTTACATTATGACACGAAGTGAAGATTTGCATTTCTGTCAAATTTTTATAAAAAATTAGTACGATTTTTATTTTACATTATGACACGAAGTGAAGATTTGCACTTCGTCAAATTTTATAAAAAATTAGCGTTATTTTTACATTATGACACGAAGTGAAGATTGCACTTCGTCAAATTTTATAAAAAATTAGCGTTATTTTTACATTATGACACGAAGTGAAGATTTGCACTTCGTCAAATTTTATAAAAAATTAGCGTTATTTTTACATTATGACACGAATGAAGATTTGCACTTCGTCAAATTTTATAAAAAATTAGCGTTATTTTACATTATGACACGAAGTGAAGATTTGCACTTCGTCAAATTTTATAAAAATTAGCGTTATTTTTACATTATGACACGAAGTGAAGATTTGCACTTCGTCAAATTTTATAAAAAATTAGCGTTATTTTTACATTATGACACGAAGTGAAGATTTGCACTTCGTCAATTTTATAAAAAATTAGCGTTATTTTCTGACTTTCACAAAAGACCAAAAATAAACGCTTTACATGTATTTTTCAGCAACTTCGTCAAATAATTTTATAGCTTTATCTATCTCATCTACTTCAAACGTTTCTTTACCTTTTATGGGAGCACCATACATTTTCTCAAACTTTTCAAGTAGTTCTGTTTCTGCAGCTCTCATATCATTAGCAAACACAACCTTGACTCTATTGACTGTACTGTCATATCTTTGAGTTATATTATATGTTCTTCCTATCTTATATCTTTTTGTATTGAAGTCCTTCGGTTTCTGAACGATGTAAAGTAAGCCTTCACTGCAACGTTCCGTATCGAATGAACCATATGTTATGAAGTTATATCCAACAACTGGGTCTAACCATAACAAAACTATTGGTATAAGACTTTTGTCTATAAGATATGCTGCAGTTCCATAGAATCTTACCGATATCATAAGCTCAGGATTTCTTGTCAAAATTTTCTGACTAGAAGCAATTCTAACCCAGTCCTTTGTTTTCTTTCCAGATGGAGATATAATGTCTGACAAAGAATATTTGTTGTATTTCTTTGAGTATCTTACGTTTAAATCACCTATTCTAACCACTTTGGTGTCATTGTCTATCTTTCTAACTGTTTCAAACTCAATGTTTGACATATCTGTTCTTACATACAAAATAAAAAAAAATAAAAAAATAAAACTAACTTTATTTTTTCTATCTTAAGGAAATTCATGAAATTTGGTCATTTTTCAGCAAAAATATATTTTAGGTGAAGAGGTGAGATCTCACCTGTTTTTTCACCTCTTTTTTCACCCTCGTGAATTTTCAAGACTTCATTGTAAATGACCAAAAATATATTTTAGGGTAGATGGTTAGATCTAACCTCATTTCTACCCTCTTTTCTACCCCAGTTATTTTATAAGCGTTTTACATGGTAAACGTTATGAATTCGTGAGACTTTAAACAGTTTTGTAGCTTCTATTTCTTCTTTTAGTACATCGAATGTTTTAACAATGCCGAAAGTTTCTTTATATTTCTTCTTGACGTCAGATAGAAGGAAATCTTCTGCTGTTGGATAGTTTTTGTTCAGAAATTCTAACATGTCCATTTTATCTTCTGCTGGTTTTTCTGCTTCTTTCTTTAAGTCTGCATAGTCGTTTCTCATACGTTCTATCTCTTTGACGGAGTAGTTATATTTCCTCATTGCTGCTTTACATTTAGAACATTGCGGGTTCATTTTTGCGTTATACATTGAAATAAAACCAGCTAAAACAACTAAAGCGTCAATTGCTCTCTTCATCTCAAACATAGCGGGTCTTATTTGTTTGTTCCATACTTTGCCTCTTCTATCTTTATCTCTTATCTGCCATACACATTCAGCAACTAACGAAACAAAGTTGTCGTAGGTCTTAAATTCTTCAGATTTATATATGTCAGAAACATTCTTATATACCATATCGCAATCTTTGTCCATAACCTTATGGTTGCAATGAAATCCTAGAAACTCATAGTTTACCTTACGAATGAACTTCTTTATTTCTACTGAGTCAGTTGCTTTGACTTCAATTTCGTCGAATTCAGGAATAGTTAGTTTTTGTTGTTGGATTTCAGGTAGTTTAGGCAAATGGTCGATGAGGTCCTGCATTTCATAAAGATACTGTTCATTTGTTTCATCTTTCGCACTACAGTCTAAATTACTTGTTAAAAGTTCTTGCTTTATCTTCTGGATTTCTGTTTCAAAAGTATATGAAGAAGGAATGAAGCTTTTCATCTCTACTAACATAGATGTTGGATTCATGACTAACGAGTTTGGTGCTGTTGTTTGAATTGTTGTTGTGCCGATTGTTGAAATCATGTCTTTTATACAAAATAAAAAAATAAAAAAAATAAAACTAACTTTATTTTTTATTTCGGGAAAATTCATGAAAATTCAAGAGGTGAAAAAAGAGGTGAAAAAACAGGTGAGATCTCACCTCTTCACCTAAACATTATTTTTGGGTCCTTTACACTCATTACGATGAAGTCTTGACAAAACATTTACGAAGAAGTCATGACAAAACATTTACGAAGAAGTCATGACAAATTCAAGAGGTGAAAAAAGAGGTGAAAAAACAGGTGAGATCTAACCATCTACCCGACATTCTCGTCAAACACAAAAAATGACACTTTTTCATTAGATAACTGTTATTTTTTGACGAAGTGAAGATTTGCACTTCGTCAAAAAAATCCCTGAAATCATATCTTTACATACAAAATAAAAAAATAAAACTAACTTTATTTTTTCTATCCTAAGGAAATTCATGAAAATTCAAGAGGGTGAAAAAACAGGTGAAAAAAGAGGTGAGATCTCACCTCTTCACCTAAATTATATTTTTGGGTCCTTTACACTCATTACGAAGAAGTCTTGACAAATTCAAGAGGGTAGAAATGAGGTTAGAAATGAGGTTAGATCTAACCATCTACCCGACATTCTCGTCAAATGAAAAAAATGACACTTTTTCATTAGATAACTGTTATTTTTTGACGAAGTGAAGATTGACACTTCGTCAAAAAAATCCCTGAAATCATATCTTTTATACAAAATAAATAAAATAAAACTAACTTTATTTTTTCTATCTTAAGGAAATTCATGAAAATTCAAGAGGTGAAAAAAGAGGTTAGAAATGAGGTTAGATCTCACCTCTTCACCTAAACATTATTTTTGGGTCCTTTACACTCATTACGATGAAGTCTTGACAAAACATTTACGAAGAAGTCATGACAAAACATTTACGAAGAAGTCTTGACAAATTCAAGAGGGTGAAAAAACAGGTGAAAAAAGAGGTGAGATCTAACCTCTTCACCTAAATTATATTTTTGGTCCGGGAACAACTTTCTCTCAATTGGGGCTGTGGCATAATCTTTGCGTAAGCGGTTCAGACCTTCTTCGAACTCTTGGTCTCTCTTCGATTTGGATTGAGATTGGAATTGCTGGGGTGGAGCTTGCTGGAACATCCAAGGGTTGGGGAAGTAAGGCATAGGCTGAGGAGGGTAGTTCGGGAAGCCTTGTGGTGGGTAGTAACCTTGAGGTGGAAATTGGTAGAAATTCGGAGGTACTTGCTGGAACTGAGGTTGCTGAGGAGACTGTTGTGGTTCTTTAGGTTCCTCTGGTTTGGGAATGGACTCGGTTGGTGGTACGTCGGACATCCGTTTGTGTCCTGTCGGAAGGAAGAACTTTTCCTGTCGGAAGGAAGAACTTTTCCTGTCGGAAGGAAGAACTTTTCCTGTCGGAAGGAAATTTTTTTTCCCTTTGTCCGGAAAATTTTTTCCTGTCGGATGGAAAATTTTTTCCTGTCGGATGGAAAAACTTTTTCTGAAGTTCGACCAAAAAGTTCTCAATTTTCGAAAATTTGAATGGTTTACGGACGGACAACTGGAAGAGTTCTTCCTGTCGTCGGGAAAAATTTTTCCAGTTGTCGGGAAAATATTTTCCTGTCGGATGGAAGGACTCGGAATGCCAGAAGGATTTGACGAGGCAATTTACCTAATTGAACTTAACGACTGCGTAAAAGACTACTTGCGCAAGGTCATGAAGCCCAAGGTCAAGTTCACCACTATTTCTGGAAGGGCTGTCTTGAATCTCGAGACTTCGACCGGAATTCCAATTCAAATACCAGAAAACACTCCTTTCGACGACATAAAGGACGCCAAAAGAGAAGCTCTTGTTAAGTTCCTAAACAAACGTCCTTGGATAAAAATACCAAACAAGGAGAACCCCCTACCCCATATGAAATTGGCAATTCAGTCTCTCCTTCACTTCTCAGGACAACCGTTCTACATAACCTGTGAAGGCGACATCCAACCAGTTCAGTAAACATCTCATTTTAACTCACTTTTTTATGTTTTTTGTGAAAGTGTCAAAAATAAATTGTTTTCATGAGTTTTCTACGATGTTAGAAAAGTGGTTAGAAAACGTGTTAGATCTAACATGCTAACATAAACATTATTTTTCAATACTTTTTCAGCACTTTTCCGTAGTTATATATGAAAGACAATTCGAGATAAAAGTCATAGTACAATGGAATAATATGTTGCACACCATTTGTTGTGAACCAAACTTGAAAGTCAGAGAAACTGTTACTAGGTGGTTCGTAGAATTTCGAAGCAAAGTCATAAAAGTCCTTACCAATACATAGAAAACTATTGTTGCTTGAACTGAAACTTGCATGACACATAACATTTTGAGGGTCAAACACGTTTCTATAAACTGTCAAATCTGCTGGTGGAAGTATAAATTGAAATGGACCATCTGGTGGTAATGGTTCGTTTTGGTTTAGTAACCGAAGAAATTGTGCCAAGAACGTTTGTCTACTTTCCAAAATAAAAACTCTGTATCTCTTGGAGGGTTAATTTCAATCTTTTGAAATGAAACGGTGGAGTTCATCTTGTCATATTCTAGTTTCAGATAGTATGTTCCATTTAGTAAAGAGTCGTATTTTTCTTGAAATTCCCAATAATATTTGTTCATTTGAGTTTGAAAGTCATTTAGAGTTTTCTCAAGACTTTCGTCTGAACGAACTGTAAAGATTCTCATTTCGTCAAATTTGTCTATTAGACCATCAGAACCTTTATACTGCCCATGAAAATATACTGCGAACATAAATGCGTTAGTTCTATTTGAAAAAAAACTCTTCTAAATCCTATTGCCTTTGCATCTGAAGGACTTTGAAGCCAACGAATTGGATAGTCAAACCTGTATACTCGGGATGAAATTTCTTCATCTGAAATAGTCCTACCAGCATTTGTAAAGATATAGTCTAACGGTTTTGTATCTGCTACTTTTGTTCTTTGTTTTTCAACCTGAAGCATTTAATATATGTAAAAATATATTGTTTTAAAATGGTATGCCATTTCATATTTCTCATCTAACAAACAAGTTTCCCAACGGTCTTCTCCAACAAACTCAGCGTACATTTCAAATAAAATAAAAAAAATGTCACTTTTTTAAAATAAATTTTTTACTTCATGCAATGTTTTATTTCTGTGCCGTCTTCAAGTATGCCCCAATATTTCCTTTTCGATATTACATGAACTTCGGAAAATACCTTATCTAGCTTAAAACAGCCCATCTTTTCACCGACTAAACCCATTTCAATGAGTTTGTTGTATCCTTCTTCGTTCGTCATGAGTGCGTCAATGTTCTCATAGTAAACCTTCACTTTCGATTTGACTTCGGAGAAGAATTTGTTGTAGTTGTCAAGGACTGCTTTTGCGAACTGAGGGTAAGACCAATGTTCGACAATAGGTTTTAATGTGGTTACTAAGCCACTTTGACCTTGAGTGAATTCGTACTTCAAAACAAAAGGAGAAAACCTTTCAACAAAGTTGTCGACCTTCTCATAATGTTTACTCTTCATCTCTTGAGGTTTCTTAATGGAATATCCCCATGTCGAATTCATAAGCAATTTGAGTGTCATTGCAAGTTTGGGGTTTGAAGCTTTCCTAATATCATACAGTTGTTGTATGACTTTTCCAACTGTATAGTTCCTTCCCGGGAACTCACCATCTTCGTTTGGAATTCCAGTCGGAATATATTGGACAAACCTCATGTATGCAGCGTTAAGGTCGACATAGTATATCTTTTCATCTGAGTCGAACTTGTCGCAACCAATTGGTCCAGTTTGTGGAAATTCAAGTGAGTCTCTTATCTTCTGAGAAACTTCTTCTGTTATCTCATAAACATCGTCGAAGCAACCTGTTTCATATAAAACCTTCTGACCTAACTCAGATGCTCTCCAATACAATTTGACGTCAATTGGATGTCTCAATGGAAGTTTGTTTATAGCATCTTGAAGTTCTTGCAACCTCATTGGAAGTTCTTCTGGTTCAGGTTGGTATCCGAACAATCCAACTCCTTGTGGAATTGTGTACTTCTTTTGTACTAGAACTTTGTCTGGAACAACTTTTGGTCTTGCTAACAATGAAAAGTTTGTTTCGTCTTTTGGTACAAAAGTTTCTGTCAGCTTGTCATCTGGAATTGGTTCCAACAAACCTTTCTCGAAAAGAATGTTTACAGCTCTGACAATGTTGCACTTGCCTTTTCCGAACAATGGGTTTGTAAGACTTTCGTTCAACATGAAGTGGTTGTGGACAATTACAATCTTCAACCATGGTAAATTGAACTCAACAACATAGTCGTCATGTGAAGAACCTTTAGCTGTAGGTATGTTGACTCGGATATTGACATTTGCCAACGGTGCAATTTTTGCCAATTGACCTCTGAGAATGTACCTTGTCTTCACACATGACTCAAGATACTTCATCTTCTCTCTGTAACAAGACCAGAGTTCCTGAGACATGTAAGAATGCAAGGTTCATTGACAATTGTTTCAATTGAATTGTAAATTCCATACCTTGTCAAGTCAATGTCAGACTTATTTATGAAGGGGAAGTATCCAGCATGTTGTCTGACTGCTTGAGGGTTAGGTTGGTACCATTCGAACTTGACACTTGCAATTCCTTCAATTGCATTCAAAATGTCTGAGTCGGAGTCAACCATTTGTTCTCTCTTTGTAGTCTTGAAAGCGTCAAGAAGCATTGCAGCTGTTGTGACATTGCCATGTGCATAGTAAATGTGACCATCCAAATCTGTTATGGTCAATCTGAGATTGTGTCCTTTCTTATTTCCGTCTTGTATGGCAGCAAGTACACCCATGAAGCCTTCTTTGTTCTTTCCTTCGTCAAAGTTTACTGTAAAGGTTCGACCAGATGTAATTTGACTTCTAACTTCACGATACTTCTCATATGCATATCTTGTTCTTTCCATGGGAGCATGACCATCCTCTGCACTACCTTTTTTCCTTCTCAAAGGATGCAATTGTTCGTCATGTTTCCAAGTAGAATCTGGCAAAGCCTCGTGTCCTTCAACTTGAGGTTCACTAACATCGAAAGGCATGTCCATAAGACGTTCTTCTTTCTAACCTCTCTAGTCTGTTTGGATAATTTGCACGTGCTGTTTCCAAATCCATTTCGTAGTCAGACCAGCCAGTTTTGTCATAGACTTTTGGGTCTTCCCTTCCTATATTTAAACTTCTTCGAAACTCTCCAACCATATCTTTGCAACTCTGCTTTTTTCTAGCAGATTTTCTATCCATTCTATATGGGGGCATTTTATAAAAATAAAAAAATATTTTTTTCTTTACTTTACATAACCGCCTGCTGCCATAAGTCTTTGACGCCAACCCATACCAGCTAATGAAGGTTGACTTGGTTTAGTTTGGAAACTAAACTTTGGTTTTGGTTTATCTTCAGTTTTTGGTTTTTCTTCTTCTATCGGTTTTTCGTCACTTTTCGGTTCCTCTGACTTTACTTCACTTGCAGGAACAGTTGTGTCGTCAACATCTTCATAAATATCATATGCCATTTGTTTTTGTTTTCCTTTCAACTTTTTGTGTTTGTTGTAAAGTTTAGAATATTTCGACTCTAAGTCAATGAGATGTTTTATAATGAACTGTTGGTCAGTGAAGTAAACTTTTCCATCTGTTGTCTCGAAAGCTCCTTCAGACTTCAATATTTTATTTGTGAGAGTCTGTTTCTTTTTTGAGATACTTGCCGTTCCATTTTTATGAAAAGTGACTTTGTAGTTAGGGTTTGTATTTCCAGACCTGGCACTTTCTATTATTGAATTTTTTCTCTTCATCGGTAAGTTCTTTGACAGGTTTTGACAATGGTTCTGAACTTTTTGTTTGTGGTGTCAAATCTACCGTTTCAACTTCTTCGGTCATTTCATCTCAGTAAAAAATTTTAGTTTGGTTTGTTTTCAACTGGTTGTTGTTGTTTTTTAAGTCGGTCTAAAACTTCCTGAGGTATAGGAAGAACTTGACAAACACGTGGTGTAAACTGCTGGAAGCCGACAAATCCATCTTGAACCCATTTGTCTCAATGCTGTATGGTTCATTTCATCTCAGTAAAAAACTTTACATTCCCCACGTTTGAGGCGGTTGAGGTTGGTTATTGTTTACCCATTGTTGTGCATGGTTATATCCTCTGTTAAAGAATCTTTCACCTTGGTCCATATAGTGTCCTGCTTGGTTATAGTAGTCATTTGCTTTGTTATAATAGTTTCCTGCTTGTCTTCCTACATTGTCCATCCATCCTTGAACTTTTCCTCTTGTTTCAGGATTTGGAATAAGATTTGTTGCATCTCGTGCTACATCCCAACCTTTCTGTACAGTTTGTATAATAGGTTGTGCTTTCTCTTTAAGTATACCTAATGTACTCAAAATCTTCTTTCCAATTCCAAATGCACCTCTGGCTATTGTTCCCACTGCGGGCAAAAATCTGGATGCAACTCCTGCTAATGCGCCAAATAAACCCATTTCTTATAGGATAAAAAATGACGAATCCAAACAAGGACCCCTATGTTTCTAAAGCGACAAAAAAAGCACTCATGATAAAAATCTTTAGTTCAACACCAAATGCTTGGTTTATGGATATCTTGGAAAACATTCCGAGGTATAGAGAAGATGGACCACCATACTGGCTAATATTTGTCGGTCAAAACACAAGATACTGTGAAGCCATACCATTATGGTCCAAAAATATTTTAGATGTGAAAACTGCTTTGACAATATTCGTTGACAAATACCATCCAACAAAACTGACATCTGACTGTGAAAGTTCTTTCAAATCAGATGATGTAAAAAACTATCTGCGTTCAAAAAATGTAAACCAATATTTCATTGTCGACCAAAACCATTCTGCTCTTGGTGTCATTGACGGTTGTATAAAAATGTTAAGAGACTTAAACCAACCACAAGGTGGTGAAGCAAATGAAATGTCATATGACGACAAATATAGACACTTCTCCATGGCAAAGATGAGACAAGTTTTAAATATTTACAATAACCGTAAACAAAAAGGTTTGGGAAACCACTCCCCCGAAGAAATGAAAAACAACCCTGACTTAGAGAAAGACTATATATTTAATAATTTAGTCAAAAGAGACAAACAAGAAAGAATGCCGGGCTTCAAACTTCAGAAAGGTGACAAAGTAAAAATAGAAATACCTAAACGCGACCCATATGAAAATACTATTGACTATGACAACAATGGGAACCCGACAGGTACTCACATTCGTGTTCGTAAAAATAGAAGAAAGTATACAAGAGAATATTATGAAGTTTTAGGCAAACATGGCAAAATGTACACACTGCAAGCAGAAGATAAAACTACTATTGTCAGACCTCGTTTCAAACTTGTCAAAGTTCAAGGTGGTATACTTTCAAAGACAGTTCCTAACAAATATAAGACAACTCCTGACGAATATGCTAAAGAAGTTGAAAATGACGACTAAGCAATTCTATACCATGCGTAAACTGTCATGTAAGGTGGCATGTATTCTTTACTTTGTCCCGTTGTTTGCGTATATCCTGAAACGAAATGTGTATGGTTTCCTTCTCCCTGAGTGTCACTCCAGTAACAATTTATAGCAAACTTAACGTCGTCTTTAACATCATATCCTTTACCTTTTGTCATTCCTGACCAATCCCAATATCTATGCTTATGCCAACCTGCTTGAGATGTACTTAAATCTATGTAGTGACTGTGTGCAGGTAAATTTTCACCTGAAATTGTTTTACTTCCACCTGTTTCCTTTGAAGAGTTTGCACAATACAAAAACCTGTCGACTATTTGTTCCCATGCACCAACACCAAACATTACTTGAGGACCTCTTGCTTCCATAGATGTATAAATAGAACCTACTGGGTTCATTAAATCAAACATATGAGACATTATAGGATTGTCTCTTTTGAACTTAAAATATAGTGCAACTATTTCAGGTTTCTTCTGGTTTGTGTCAGAATATTTTTTATAATATAATCTTATGTTTTCAGGGTAGGTAAAATCTTGACTATAATATTTATTTCTGTCATCTTCATAATAGTATACTATTCTCGTTTTTTCTATTGCATTATATCTTTTATATCTATAATAATCTAAATATAATGTTAGCTTTTGTTCATCTACATGTGGTGTTCTGACGTCATCTCCATAGTCATAATAATATGGTGCTGGAGCTGGGTCAGGCAATGTCATATCTGTCATTTCATAAACTCTTAAATATTTCTTTTGTTCGTCTCCATATAAGTTTAAGTAGCAGTTGTTGTCTAATGGAACTTTAACTTGTGTACCATCATTCTTTTTATAGCTTACATACATTTCATTGTTATTTTTCGGAATGAGTTTATACCGTGTACCATTTTCTAAGGACTGTACAAACTGCCATCTAAAATATTTATTTTCTTCATTGACAGAAAAGTCACCAACAATAGTTTCAATATTTTTTGTTCCTATCAAACTTTGGTATATTTCATTGACATATGTTTTATCTGCTTTATTTTCAAGGCTAACGTTTAAGTCTGTTATTTCAGAAGATGTATGTGTATGTCCAACGGCACTTTTCCTGTTTAAGGTTTCTTGTAAGTTTGTAATATTTGCAATGGTATGTGTATGTCCAACGGCACTTTTACTGTTTAAGGTTTCTTGTAAGTCTGTTATTTCAGATATAGAATGTGTATGAGTCTTTTTAGAATATTCGTTTTCAGCTCTCGTCACTTCACTTGACATTTTATTGTCAACATATGTTTTGTCTGCTAGTTCAGGATGAGTATGTTCTTTTGTTGCATAAGCATTGTTAGCTCTTTCTTCTTCTTTTGCTATTGCATCGTCTACATATTCTTTGTCAGCTTTGTTGTCAACATCTGTTTTCAAAAGAAGTTCATTTATAGGTTTCTCGTTTAAAGTTCCTTTTGTTGGATTTATACAGACAGTATGGTTCTTATTGTCTTGAAACAGAAACTCATCTGTCATTGGGTTTATTGTCAGTTTTAAGTTTCCTTCTTTCAATGACTCAGATATCTTAGAATAGTTTGAAAAGTTTGTTGTGTTCTTATTTAGAGCTTGCATAATGAGTTGTCGGTTGTGTTGTATTTCTCTCATAGACGCTGTTTCATTTGACATTTTTATTGTAGATAAAATATGCTTCCAATAGAAAAAGAAAATTCAAGAGTTGCTACAACTAAACCATTAGATGAACTTTTTACTAATGTCGGTCAAAAGTTTGAGACAGAGACCGTAAAGCATGAAGGCTATCGTTTTGACTACCCATTAAGATGGTTAAGAGACCCATCTGTCACAAAAGCTATTGGCTTTCGTAGAATGAAGTTCATTTCAGAAGCCATACATGGTTTCCCATTTACGGTCGGTTTTGAAGTTCGATACTATAACAAAGAAAAACGTATGTATGAGAAATTTGAACAGGGAAAACTTTTACAAGTTAGTTTGCTTGTAAACTTAGAAACAACTCTTCAAGCTTTTCAAGAAAAAATAAACGATATCTATATCGAATATGCAAAACAGTATAACATTGACGAAGGAGAATACCATCTCGATATTATTTATGACAGGAAAAATGCAACTGTTAAAATCAATAGAATAGAAGACCTTGGAGAAAACGTTTATATTTCTACAAAATATAACAACTTGGCATGGTATAGATTTATGAGGATGTTAAATCAGCCTGCAGCATATCCAGTACACCCAGACTTTTATGAAGTCGAAAACCCTAATGGAACATATGAAAATGTTTTCGACCAAGATGCTATTATTGTTCATGCTTCATTTTCTGGCGCCCAAAACTCTTTCTTATGCTTGGCAAATGACTTTTACGAAAAACCTACAAAGTTATACGAACCACCAAGTGGAAGTATTTCAGACTTTCAAGTATGGTTTACTACAGATGGAAGAAAAAGAATAATTCCATTATACCATGCGTTTTACTTAGAACTTAGTTTCATATACAACTACTATCGAACGGTAAAAATATAATTTTTTAATATACCGGTTGTGGTGTTGGATTTGGTTGCCAACTAGACTGTGGTGCAGGTTCAGGCTGTTGTATAACAGGAGCTTGTTCTTCTGGTTCAGGGTCTTTAGGTATAATACCAACGAACTGACCTACCCTTTTACCAATATTTTTGACACCGTTCCAAATTCCTCTTCCTACGGTTTTTATTCCATTCCATATACCTCTTCCAACATTTCGAAAGAAGTTTCCTATCTTACTGAAGAAACCCATTTTACTATATGTAAAAATCTAATGTCCACCTAGTCTCTTACGTTTCCTGTTGAGTTCCATAGCATTCTTTAACTGGAGCTCATACATTCTGTTTCTCCTCTGGTAGAAAACATATTCTGGGTCAACTCCTGTGTTCGCGTCATCTGCATAAAGTTGTTTATATCCCACCTCAGGGTTTGTATAAAACTCTTTCCATCTCATATTTGCATACCATGGTGGCAAACCTAACGCAGCGTCATTTGACATGGCAGTTTGCATTTGTACATCTGTTGGCACTTGACCATAGTTTGCCATTGCAGTTTGTATTCTAACTTCATTTGGAATATTCTCTGGGTTTGGTTGTCCAGGTTGCTGTGCATTCGCTAAGTTCTGTGCGTCCATTTAATATTAGATAAAAATATCTCTTACGAGTACATATACTGAACATTTGCAGGCATTGGTTCATCTTCATATTCTCTGTACTTTTCTGCCACGTCAAATAAATAAATGACACAATGGAAAAAACCTAAAACAAGTAGTCCTATTTCAAACCACATTTACTTACTAATAAAATTTCTTTGTTATGACACTTTCTCCGGTTTATAGGACCTCTCTCATATTCTATCTTGTCATATCTAAACTCATAGTCATGTATGTCCTCTAACCATCTCATAACGGTTTCCAAACCACTTTTATCGGATGTAAAGTAAAAGCATGGATGGTTATGTAAAACGTCTAAAGTTTCTAAAGAGTCTCTCAAAGTCCAGTCTACTTGGTATTGAAAATCCCATGTGTTATAGAACGGCGGGTCCACTATAAAGAAAACATTTTCCTTGTCTTTATATTTTTCATACAACTCTGTCCAATGACATCTCACAAACTCTATACCCTCAATATATTTTTCTATGTCCTCTTTGAAAACATTTGTATAGTTAAGATATAAAACTTTTGACATAAGTGTTTCAATGTCATGAACTCTTATAGAACCACTATATAATAGTCTAGCAGATATACTATCCCAGTCTATATATTCTGCTTTTTTCAAAACCTCTCTCACAATATTTTTGTTATCTAATGGTATACGTTCCATCTTACCTATAGGTATCTTTTCTTTTAACTCTTTCAATATATTGTTTGTGTCTGGTATATGTTTGAGACGGTCCATATAGTTGTCGAAGTCATTGCATATAATCTTTGAGTCTGGGAATATTGTATGGCACAAATGGGATATATAGAAACTTCCACCGAACAAATCTACAAATGTTAGACCATTCGGTAGTTTCTTAAGTTCTCTCAATATAATATCTTTATATCTACTCTTATTTCCAAAGAACGGTAACGGAGGTTTTGTAAAATTCATTTATATATAATAATAAAAATGTTTTTACCCGAAAAGTGACAGAAAAGTGACAAAGCATGAAAACATATATAATTTGTGAAAAGTGAAACATTATATAATGTTTTCGACCCAGAAGAAGGCTTCTTCCCAGAAGCAATGGAGGAAGAAGAAGAGTCCTCCGAATTCACACCAGAAGACTAACAATTTTCCGAATAAAAACTTCATTTATACTAAACATCTTCGGGGCTAGAGGGCACGAAGTGCCTGGAAGCCCCACTACCTTTTTTTTTTTTAAATTCGATTATCTTTATTCAGTTATCTATTTGTTATATCCACTTATGGGTGCAATAATATTTGTCGCATAATGTACGTTTAGATAATGGGTGAAAATGAGTTGATTTTTGGAATCCTTGATCCAAAAATATTACAATCACCAATATCTTTACAACCAGGCCTTATTTCAAGTGCGATAGATAACTATGCATATTCAGATTCAATACCTCCTCATTTTGTGAAATTATTTACTTTTATAACGAAACAATTCCAAGAAATAAATGACTTAACTGTACTCCACAAAATAGCAGATATTTTAGGAAATATTGCTGGCTACAAACTTGGTATGAATGCAAGGAATGTAATCGCTATATGTGAAAATATAATGATTCGCCTTCTTTGTAGTAACGATCGTAATCACATATCGTCATCAATTAATTTCTTTAGAAAGGTTGCTCGAGTTATAGGTCCCAGATTTGTATTTCAAAATTTTATCTCTAAAAATGTTGATAATTCATCTGCGATACTAGGTATTTCTATACTATCCCACCAACTTATTGCAGATTTTCCGAGTTTTCCATTTACAATTGATGATTTTCAAGGGTGGATTTTTCCATTATTCAAAGTTCAAAGCATTGGCCCAGAACTTGTACGTTTGATAAAACTTAGGATACCCGATTTTGATTACTCCGATATTTCTTTTGTTTCAAGGCCACTCACAGTCCCAATTTCTTCCTCTAGCCCACCCAATCAAAGTAATGCTACTTTTCATCAAGCAACACCAAAAAAATGTCCAGTACATCCTCCTAAAACCGCTAGGCCCAGCCCTTTGCCAAAGCTGTATCCGAGAGGAAGTGCTCCACGAGTTTCCATTATTTGCGACGAACGAAGGCCTCCAAAAACAGCCCAAAGACAAAGCCAGCTTCAACTAAAAGATACATCTATTATCTACAAAATGACTGGACGGCAGAAAGAAGTCAGAGAGTTTGTTGACAATCCATTTAATGAAGAAGAAGATGTTCAGACCATTTACAGTAAAAGTATAACTAATGTTAGCAGTGAAGATTGGGAATTGCGCTCCCAAGGATATAACAACTTGCGCAGAATACTTCGCTATAGCAATGAAACTTTCTCATCAGATGACATACACAAGGTTGTTACTCAATCTCTTGTTGACATAGACAGCGTCAAAAGTGCTCTTTGTATGTCCTCCGTGAGTTTCTTAAGCGAAATTGTGGATGTGAAATCTGGCGAGATGGAATCAGAAATTGGAAAGATTATTCCTATTTTGGTGAAAAAAGTTTCCCAATGTGGCCAATTCCTGGAAAAATCTCTTGAAGCCTTCTTTGAGATTTGTGTCAACAAAATTAATGGAAGGAAGCTTGTTAAGTCAGTAATTAGCCCTCTTTCACAAAACAAAAGTCCTAAATCACAGCTTTGCTGTATGAAGTTGATAAATGATTCGATAAAAAAAAATTATAGCTCAGGAGATATACTTTTCCCGAAAAATTCAAACGATTTAGGACAAATTTTGAATTTGCTTGTTCGATTTAGCGAAGGATCTACACAAGAGGTAAGAGACTCTGCAAAAAAGTCACTCCGAATTCTCTCTTCGATGTATTCTGACTCTTTTCAACAGATAGTTCAAAAAGCACTTTCTGTAACAGATATCTCTATCCTCAATAAAGTTATATATAGTCAATGAAAATATATATATGTGTATGTAAAATGATATTTTTATCTTAATCATGGATTTATAAAAAGAATTTTTTTTCTTTATGATGCAATTTTAGATAAGAGATTTCTTTTCAACCGAATAAAAAAAAATATTTCATTCAATCAAATAATTAAATAAAAATCACTTTATATAATATATTAAAAAGGCACACATTTACAAATATAAAACCGGACTCGTTCAGAGAAAATATTATCATAAGATTATTTTCTGGTTATTTTTTCATAATTTCATCCAGCTTGATTTTAATTGATATCTTTAATTTTATTTAATCTTTTTGAATTGAATTCTGAATTTATTTTCAATTCATTAATTGAAAAATTGAAATAGTTTCATTTATTTTAATTATTATTTATTAATTAATAATTTAAAATTTACGAAGAATTTATTTAAATCATTTAAAAAATGACGCGAAAACGCATCATAGCAATATATCTTTAATAAGAGGTCTTATTAGGTTCTCTACGCTTTTTGCATGTTTCATTGTGTTAATTTTTTGAAAGGATCTATTCATTTTTTTGATAAAATGTTTCCAATCTTATTCACCTATGTTGCATCAGTTGATTTTGAAAATATTTGTGATCTCAAGTGTTTCATACAATCAATGGTTTTTCCCCTTGACGATGTTTCAATTGGTGGTGGTATTGGAGCTCGAGATATGAAATTATATTCTGTTTCTATCAATGATTTCTCATTCGAAGAAGATCCAACAAGTGATTTAAATTTTTTTAAAGTGGCAGTTAAATGCGACGCAACATTGTCTGGAACTTATTATGATTTATTGAGTTCTGGCTATATTACTGCAATAGCAACTGGCTGTACATTCACACTCGGGATGTATTTTATTAGAGACTCTGATGGGTTCGTTGAAGAAATAAAAATTGCACCTTATCCATATTGTAACTATCACATTCAAGATTTAGATATCAAAACAAATCACATAGGTTTGAATATATTAAGACCAGTAATTAGTGATGTGAGAAATTTATTTCAAACTGCAATTTGTAATGAAATTCAGAAACTTGGAACAAATTTGACTGAAATGATTTAACAAGACAGAACTTAAATGGCTCTGAACCGTTAAATATCCCTATTAATGGCCAAATGATCAAATTAGATTCAAATGTAATCTTTAAAGCTCTCAATTATATTACCAAAAATTTGATTGAAAACAATGGACCATTTGATTTCAACAACATTTTCGCTCGTATTACTGACAACACTGGTAAATTCACTTTGTCAAATTTATTAAATGTGACAAATCAAATGTCATCTTTCTTTAATTTTACTCCTATATTTGATATTCCAATTCCATCCATCAACTCCAACATGACTCTAATACTTGATGATTTCTATATAGATGGTTTAAACACATTCAAGGATCTAAAGTTGCTTCGCATTGTTGATAACTATGAATTATCCACAAATATTAATCTATTACACTTTGAAATGGGGATTTCCATGTCATTCTTGGTAAAAAATGATGCATTCGAGGATTTTATTCTTGGTCAAAAAATTTCCGCAAGCATTACTATTGATAATAATAAACTAGGCTTTATTGCCCAAATTGGTCTTCCCAAAGGGCGAGGTAGAAATTACTCTAACAAGCAATGCATGGATATTAACTGTATTGGGGCGTTATTTAGCAAAGAATCAACGGCCATTTCAAATATTAATATCTCCACTAGATTATCAAATGCTTCATTTTCTCTTACAACAGGTCAGCTGGGAGAAAGACTCAATGAAGCCATTAATAATCTACTTAGATATATTTCAAATCACTTTGGAAATTTCACTGGCGCTTTCCTCACAGGGATGATCCATGACAAAGTCCTCCCAACCGTGAACAATTTGATCACAGAGGCAATTGGGAACTCTTCATGTGCAGATAATCCCAATTGATAAGAAATCAACAATAATTTCGGTCTTATTCTTAGGTGGAGTTGGTGCAGGATTATCTATCTTTGTAATATTTTTTGCGTCTCGTCTGGATTTTTGCAAGAAATTCTTCAGGACTGATGAGCAGGCAAGTTTATTAATGACTCCAAAACTTCCACTATTATTCAGATTATCAATTCCTATAATTTTACTCTTGGTGTTTGCACTTTTTATTTCATCGAATACAGGTGTTGGTGCTAGTGTTTTTGCAAAAATATATTTAGGTAGTGGTAAGCGCATTGGTCTTCCTTCATTGTTCGATTTTGGCTTGATAAACTCGATTATGGACATGTGGTCTTCAGGGTCCTATGTTTTAGCTGTCTTGAGTTAGTATGGTTAACTTGGGTACGGCGGCACTGCGTTCCACCTTACCCAACTTAACCTTAAATATTTACAAAACCGTCTGACTTCACTAATGACTTCACTAACGACTTCACTAACATTTTCACTAACGAACTCACTAATGTAAAAATAAACGTTCTCACTATCGTTCTCACTACCGACTTCACTAATGTTCTCATAAATTTTCCTCAATATCTTCATCATCAGTGTTAACCCTATTGTAATCATACTTGAAGCCATAAACTTTCTCTAACTTCTTAACGTACAATTTACATAACTTACCTTCGTCATCATATGGTTTAATGATATAACTATTTCTATCTTTATACACAGTCAATGAAAAGTCAACTGGTCTCGGATGTATTTGAAAGAACATGTTATGCTCAGGAAGGAAGAATAAATGTTTAAATGTATGTTTGTTATATGTTTTGATTTGTATGAGTTGCTTTTGTTCTGTCATTTATATAAAAATAAAATAAAAAAATAAAATAAAAAATAAACTTAAAAATTAATGATATCACCACCCTCACACGTATGAAAACATCCATTTAAATTTAGGGTAGAAGGTTAGATCTAACCTCATTTCTACCCTCATTTCTAACCTCATTTCTACCTTGTTGAATTCATTGCTTTATAACTCTCTTCCTTGGTTTCTTTTTAGTTGCTTTCTTCACGTCTGTCTCCAACTTGACTGTCTTTCTTCTTCGGCCGTAATGATACCAGTTACTTCCACCAGTCAATGGGTCAAATGGTCTTTCGTAAGGGTTTCCATACATTCCATAAGGTCCGTATGGATAAACTACTGGTGGAGAAGAAACATTTTCTTTAGTTCCATCGACTCTATTTAAATGCATTGTTTCACCTTTCATCTGGTCATTAAAGTCTTTTGCGTGTTTTGCAAACTCATCGTCCTTTCCTAAAGCATTTTCTGACTCAGTCGCAACCAAATTGGATGCTTTATTTATGAGCCCTATTTTATTTAATCTTAACTTCTTTGCAACCCAGCCTCCAATCTTTCCTTTATTTGCATCTAATGTCTTCGAAACCCTTCCTCCACTCATTTTATTTACTGCGTCATAAGCTCCAAGTGCTTTTGCTCCAAATGCTAATGCTTTTGTTCCCATTGCGCCTAAAGCTGCCCAAGCTACCATTTACCCCATATTAAAATCATCTCTCTTCAATATTATCTCATAAAAGTTCTCGTTACTGGAGAAAGTCAATGAAACATAAGCGTTCTCACGGGCTTCGCCCTCACCGCTTTGCGGTCTATCTAACTTCTTTCTTATATCATCTATACGCTTCAAAATGTCTGAACAATTGCTAACATCTTCTACAACAGTTATTTCATCATGAATGACCTTCAAGAACAAGCTCATTTAATATGCTATTAAAATCATCTCAATAATGAGTCCATCCTTTCCATCTTTAGGTAGCACAACATCTTTCATTGAAGAAGGTTCGACAAGTCTTATGTTAAACTTACTGACAAAGTTTGTTATACTATAATGCTTCGGCGGCGAATACATGTAGTTTGAAAGACATAATATAGATTCTTCAGCAAATTCACTTATACTGGATTTTATAACAATGTTCTCACGAGACCAAATACCACCAATTGACAATCTTGTAAGCAATCCTGCTGAACCTTCAACTGTAAACGTCGATGGTAACATTCCACGAAGGTCATCTATTGACATCGTTGAGTCACTGTATTTAAATATTTTCTTAAAGCAATCGTCATTATCTAACCATGCAATAGCTTTGAAGTTTTCATTCGAATATACATCTGCTTCATTAAATGTAAATCCTGACTTCTTTGCAGAGATGACTTTAAAATCTATTGAGTTTGTTTCAAAATTATATGCTATGGTAACTTCTGAAGGTAATGGATGTCCTTCCGCAGTCAGTTGTTCTCTCACTACCGTTTGAAGCTTTGTGTTAAAAACTTTCATGTCATCTCCTGTGTCTAGGTTCACATACACAGCAACAGGGAAACTATCTTGCTTCTTTGTTTCATCATTATATCTCAAAACATTAAAGTTCTTCAATAATATTGTTCTTCCTGCTGGAATACTTCGAACCTGTCTGATTTCAATAGCTTTCTCACCTCCTACATACTCTACCCAGTGCCTTGGATATTCATAAGTATACTGACTTTCTTGAATTTTGGTAGGTTTCATCATAACGTGTTCATAGTATATCTTTATACTCTTGTCAGTTAGACTCGGTGCTATGTTCTGAATATTTCTGACTTGCATTTTTAATGGAGATAAAATGAAGCATTTAATACATGACGTAGATGAAGACATGAATGAAACTACAGACAAACTTAACTCTTCTCTCATTCTTCCTTTCAGTAAGGACTATGAGTTCTGTTCAAATGGTGTTTATTTCTATTGTGGAAAGATGGGTTCAGGTAAGACATTTAACCTCATTCGTCATATACTCATAACAGAGCGTTTAGGAAACGACTCTTACTATGACCAAATCATTATATCAGCAACTTCAGACTCTATGGATTCAACAGCGAAAACATTTATGTCAAAAGTTCAAGCCTCTGTCGTTAAAGTTTCAGACAGTGAACTCATTGAATTTCTTCAACGTTACATTCGACGTAAGAGGAAATATTATGCCATTGTTGAATTTATACAGTCAGGAATGCAAAAGACTTCAGAAGAGATGGAAAGAATTATTGACAAACACCACTTACGTCAATACTCAGGAGTTTACGATATGAAACGACTGACAAACTACATTCTATCAAAACTTTCAAAATACCCCTTCAAAAAGTATCCTTCAAACACTCTGCTCGTTTGTGACGACTTCGCCGGAAAAGGTTTAGTGTCAAAGCCTGACTCACCATTAGCTAACATCATTACTAAAGTCAGACATTACCACTTAACTGTAGCAATACTTATGCAAACATGGCGTTTTCTTGCTTTAAACATAAAACGTCTCATAACTGACTTCGTTATCTTTCAAGGTTTCTCACGTTATGATATTGAACTCATTTGGAAACAGTCAGGTATAACATTACCTTTTGAAGAAATTTGGGAAGCATATAAGTCTCTCATCTCTCCTCGTTCATACCTTGAGATTCATATCATGACTAATACCATTAAAGTCAAAAATATTCCATGGGAACGACCAACATTGTTTTAAAGTTTAACCTTCAATTGACTGATGGTAAACAAATTCCATGCATCTCTGTCGCCATTTCTGTTAATATTTTTGCTGTCATTCATATCATCCACTTCCCATCCGTTAGCTTTTGAGGATATGTGTTAGAATAGCTGTTCTTAAATGAAGGCTTCTCTCCCTTGAGAGCATAAACTCTATAACTTTCTGCATACTTTATGTTTGAACCTCCTGAGCCATCATTGACATAAATTTTTATAGGCTTCCACCCTTTGTTCATGTTCCTGCTTCTTCCCTTAGCTCTTTTGTTCAGTAGTTCTACATCTTTATACACAGCACCTGTCTCAGTGAATTCAACAATATTTTCATTCGTTAGCTTTACATTCAAACCCTTGTCGAGTATATTGTTCATTTCATACATATAAAAGGTTTTTATTCTATATGAAATGAGAAGCAAATCCATCTTAGCTGGTGCCGTTAATGTTCCAATTGAACCAACATCAAATGTTGACTCACGAACGACAAACAATATTGTCATAAAGAACTATAGTTCAGAGTGTTTGAAAGAAAAAGAACCAGAGCTGAAATCCGTGAATTTAAACACAGCTTCAAACGCTAACGCTACATCAGATGTTAAGTTAGAGTATCCACCACTGGACCAAATTCTTTCAAGAGAAGCCAACGACAATCCTTACACAAATGTTCAAACAAATCCTTCAGATAACGTAGACCATTACCTTCTTCAGTTATACCAAACAATTTTACTCAAAGACGATAAGAAGCTTTTGACAAATCTTATAGTAGAACCAAATAATTCTAACAAAGGAGGACCTTGAAAATGTTATCTCACGAATAACAGGGAAACAATGTGTCATTGACTATCTCGACCCTGAAATCGAATGCTGTGGTCAAACGCCACCATTCATGAAAATAGGTAAATCCGCATCATTGAAACACCAGGAACTACAGGAGTTGAGTTTAAGTATAAATATTCGAACGAGTATACAAAACTTTCAACAGAATATAAACTTTGCTTGAAATATGTTTTAGTAAATTAAAGCAATTTGTAATATCTATCCAAAACTTCTTCAACAGTATCGAACTCATCTTCATAATGCAAACCTAATCTTATTGACTTGGTGCAGTTTTCACTAACACAATATTTTTCTGTTCTCTTGACTGACATAACTAACTCATTTGTTTCATCAAACAGCAACAACCAAAGTTCATGACCTAATACATAACATTCATACTTTATATTTTTAGCTCTGAGTTCTCTTGTAAGCTGTTGCATTTAATATTTTCTAAAAAGTCAACTTCAACAGTCATTCGCACTGGTGCCTTCAGTTCTACAGGCTCTCCTTGAAAGTCAACAAGTCTGAATTGCATGTCTTTCAAATTATGAGGACTAATGCGAACCCATTTACCTAAATGAGTTGCTATGACAGGAACGTTTGGAATGAACATTGAATTTACTTCATAACAGAAAGATTTATACTCTACTGAACCTTTACTATTAACTCCTGAAATGCCTGTGACATTAGCTATTTTAGACTCAATGTATAAACAATTGCCATAACATACGTATGGAACAGATTTCATCTCAATCGTTTTGTCAACACTTTTCAAAGGAAATGTCATATGGTATGCTCCTAAAAGAAGTTGAACTCTATGACTCATTCGTGTTATCTTGAACTCTTTCTTGCTACTGAACTTCAATGTTCCCTCAGAAGAGAGTTCGACATCTATGTTGTCAATAGTTTCTTCATTTATGAGAGTATCTATGACTCCAGCAATTTTATCTATTCTATACCCAGCTCTGTTAGGAAATGTTATAAAACTTCTTTTGTCATCTATTTCAATCTCTATGAAATCTGTTTCATCTGTTATGACAAAAGTTGCGATAGTATTGAAGTCAACAACTCTGAAAGCAAGTGCTTCATTCTGAAGACCTAAGTTTGTTTGTAGCTTTACTGTCCCGTATTCGTTTGGGTCTGTACTTTGCAAATAGAACAACATTTTATTCTCATTAAAATATGACTATTGCTGCATATGCGTATGAAACAAATGAAGCAAGAAGAGCACATGAACTAGTAAACGAAAACTCAACTTTAACCATTGAAGGCAATGATTTAGTCATTGACGATGGAAAAACTAAAAAAGTCATTGATTTCGATACTTTTAACACTTATGACCCATTCATTACAATAAGTAAAGTTCCTATCATAAATGATGGAACGGTGCAATATATAAATTCTACAGTAGATGCCTCATTAGTGAAAGTATTAAATGTTCTCATTGAATTGTTAAAGAGCTTTCGATTTGACGACAACATTAAATGCTTAAAGAATTTAGTCATGAATGAGAAACAAATTCTTGGCGTTGCTGGTAGCAGTAATGATGTACACCTTATGACATTAGAATATTATAACGAACATAAAGATGAACTGAAAGGAGAGAAGGGTGACACCGGACCTCAAGGACCTCAAGGACCACAAGGAATAAGGAATACAAGGAATACAAGGAATACAAGGAATACAAGGACCTCAAGGCGAGAACGGTTTGGATGGTGTAGATGGAAAGGATGGAAAAACTGCTAAATCATGGATATGGAACCTTATAAATACTGGTTTAACAGCTGCTTCATATGGAGTTCTTCAATACCAAATCGGAAAGATATGGGCGGTACTTGGTGAAGAAGTTTTAAATGACGTTAAAAATGCTTTGAACTTCATTTCAAATGGTTCGGATACTATTAAAACTTTATCTGGTTGGATGCAAGAAACAAGGAGTCAAATAGATACTGTAAGACGTATAGCAAACAATGCACGTACGGGATTGGATACTTTACGACAAGCACAAAATACACTAAAGGAAGCAAATGATATTCTTGGCTCAGTATCAGACATGCATGAAGATTGGCTTAAAGGTATTGACAAATCTTTAAAAAATCACAGTCAGTCTATTGCTGACTACAAGAAAAGTATAGATTTTTTACATAGTGCTATGGACGTACATGATGGAAGCATAAGGAACTTACTTAATGCTAACAATAACTTACCAGGAACTATTAAAGCATTTATAAAGTCCTTTGTAAAACCTGGTGCTCTAACATTTAGGTCTTTGAGAGCAAGAGCATTGAAGTCAAGAGATGCAGAAACTCCAACAGAACCTACAGAAGGAACTGAAACAACAGAAACTCCAGAAGAACCACCAAAACCAACAGCTAATGAAATATTGTTCGAATATTTTCCAAGGTACTCTGTTCTCATTGCATACATTCAAGAAATACTTAAGAAAGCAGACTTGACTTTAGGAGATGATGAAAGTTCTGTATATCTTTCGTTCCAGTTTCAAATAGCAGAACTTTTGAGACAGATATGCTTAATGTATGACAACATCTCTGATTTCACAAGATATGATGACGACCATGACCCCGAACACGGTGAAGAAGAAGTTTTACAAACATCCATTAAGACAGGAAAGGTTTTAACACAAAGTCTCATTATTGACACCAAAGATGGTGAAGTGGATGTTCTTCAAGAGCTGAAGAAAAATACTTCTGGGAGGTGGTGGTAGGCATGAACTTGAAATAAATGAGATAGAAGAGAAATTAGCCGAAAAAGCAGATAAAGAACATAAACACAATATCTCCGATATAAATGAACTTCAAGCTACATTAAATAGTAAAGCGGACAAAAATGAACTTGACGCAATGAACAAAGTTTTGAAATCTCATAAACACAACATCTCCGATATAAATGAACTTCAAGCTACATTAGACAGTAAAGCTGACAAGAACCATACACATAAATCCTTCACTACTGTTAGAGCAGACGACATAATACTGAACTTTGACCTTGGTTCAAGTGCACCATTAGAAAATCCAAGTACAAGCGTAAAAGATACTCTTAACAATTTAGATAAGAGTTGCAGGAATATTGAAAGTCATGCCAGAAACTTTGAAGCACATGAACTACCAACAATGTTAGATAAGAAAGCTGACAAGAACCATACACATAAATCCTTCACTACTGTTAGAGCAGACGACATAATATTGAACTTTGACCTTGGTTCAAGTGCACCATTAGAAAATCCAAGTACAAGCGTAAAAAACTCTTAACAATTTAGATAAGAGTTGCAGGAATATCGAAGATCATGCCAAGAAACTTTGAAGCATATGAACTACCCGCAATGTTAGATAAGAAAGCAGACAAAACAGAGCTTCAAACATTAAAGACTCAGATTCTTGAAACATTATATCTTATAGGTTCTATTTATACGTCAATGAATTCAACAAATCCAGAAAAGTTTTAGGTTTTGGTACTTGGGAACAGATTGTAGACAAATTCTTATACTGTGCTAACTCTTCAAAGCAAACAGGAGGTCGAAGAAAAATTACTGAAGCAAACTTACCTGCGCACACTCATACAGGAACTACAAACTTTTCTGGCGACCATAGCCACTCATTAAGAGACCATCCATTATACAACTCAGAATATAAAGCTGGCAATGACGTTTTATCTCCATCTTAAACAATGCAGCAAAAAAGACTTTTCGACCAACTGAACCAGGAGGAAATCATGTCCATACTTCACAACAAATCCAACAGGCTCGGGTGCAGATTATATGCCCACCATTTATGACTGTATTCGCATGGTATAGAGTTCAATGAACGCGCTTGAGCCTAGAATAAAATCTTTAATTTTACATAAATGAGCTTGAAAGAAGTATTCGAACAACATCCATGGAGGTCATTTAAGAAGTTCAATGAAGCTGCAAAAGATCGGGGATTTACTAACAGAGCTGAAGTGAAAAGGTCTTTGACAAAAATGTTGTACATCAAACAAAAATAAACCCTTACGACTACTTTTTACCAATTTACTCCATCACTCCTGACGCATACCAATTTGACACTCTCTCATTCAAAGCAGAAAAGGAGACATAAACCATTCCTCATCTTCATTAATGTTAACACTCGTAAAGCATATGCATATCCAATGAAAAATAAAGGAACTCGTGAAGTGTTAAGAGTTTACAAAAGTTTGTAGCAGAACATAGCCCAAGTACTTTAACATCAGACAAGACAGTGCATACCTCAGCAACGAAATCACAGATTTTCTCATTAAGCATAACATAACTCACTACACTACTGAAGACCATAACCATAACATACTCGGCATCATAAACCGCTTCATAAGGACTCTCAGAGATTTAAACCAAGAGCGAGACTTTATCGAAGAAACAATGAAACATTTTCTCGAAGTATATAATTCCTCAACACATTCTACAACAGACATACACCAAATTCAATGACACAACAACAAGAGAAAATATATACAAAAGAAACGAAGTCAAACACAAAATATCAGAAATTCAACACAATTTACCCTCATTCCTGGTACAAAGTTCGTGTAGTCTTGACGACAAACCGTTGACAAAGAAACGTTTAAGGTTAAGTAGAAACTATTATATCGTAGACTCTACGCAAGGTAATGGATATCTTATAAAAGCTGCCGACGACTCTATTGCGTTTTACCTCGACATAAATTAGTCGAAAGTAGTAATGGCAAACTTGCTGAAACCATTGACGAAGCAAAGCGAGGAGTGGTTATTGAAAACTTGACTATAACATAAACGATGACACTTATAAAGTAAGATATTGAAGGAGGCGTTGAAGATGTTATACCATCTAAGAACTTGAGAGAGTCAAAGCCAACACATCTGGGACCATTAGAGCGGGAGTATTGGAAAGACAAAAACATGCCAGAAAGAATAAGAAAATTCTTCTAAACTTTTTCGTTGGATGTAAATCAGACATGAATGAGAACAGTCATGATATCATTAATGGTACCATTTATTTTAACATAAAGACGCAAAGCGGCGAGGACGAAGTCCATGACCAAAAATATGTTTAGGGTAGATGGTTAGATCTAACCTCATTTCTACCCTCATTTCTACCCTCATTTCTACCCTCTTGAATTTTCATGAATTTTCCCGAAATAAAAAATAAAGTTAGTTTTATTTTATTTATTTTGTATTTTTTTGTATGTAAAGACATGATTTCAGGGATTTTTTTGACGAAGTGTCAATCTTCACTTCGTCAAAAAATAACAGTTATCTAATGAAAAAGTGTCATTTTTTGTATTTTTTGTATGTAAAGACAATGATTTCAGGATTTTTTGACGAAGTGTCAATCTTCACTTCGTCAAAAAATAACAGTTATCTAATGAAAAAGTGTCATTTTTTTTGTATTTGACGAGAATGTCGGGTAGATGGTTAGATCTAACCTCATTTCTAACCTCATTTCTACCCTCTTGAATTTGTCAAGACTTCTTCGTAAATGTTTTGTCAAGACTTCTTCGTAAATGTTTTTTCACCTCTTTTTTCACCTCTTGAATTTTCATGACTTCTTCGTAAATGTTTTGTCAAGACTTCTTCGTAATGAGTGTAAAGGACCCAAAAATAATGTTTAGGTGAAGAGGTTAGATCTAACCTCATTTCTACCCTCATTTCTACCCTCTTGAATTTTCATGACTTCTTCGTAAATGTTTTGTCAAGACTTCTTCGTAATGAGTGTAAAGGACCCAAAAATATATTTTAGGGTAGATGGTTAGATCTAACCTCATTTCTACCCTCATTTCTACCCTCTTGAATTTTCATGAATTTTCCCGAAATAAAAAATAAAGTTAGTTTTATTTTTTTTATTTTTTTTATTTTGTATGTAAAGATATGATTTCAACAATCGGCACAACAGCAATACAAACAACTACAGCACCAAACTCGTTAGTCATGAATCCAACATCTATGTTAGTAGAGATGAAAAGCTTCATTCCTTCTTCATATACTTTTGAAACAGAAATCCAGAAGATAAAGCAAGAACTTTTAACAAGTAATTTAGACTGTAGTGCGAAAGATGAAACAAATGAACAGTATCTTTATGAAATGCAGGACATTATTGACCATTTACCTAAACTACCTGAAATCCAACAACAAAAACTCACTATTCCTGAATTCGACGAAATTGAAGTGAAACCAACTGACTCAGTAGAAATAAAGAAGTTCATTCGTAAGGTAAACTATGAGTTTCTAGGATTTCATTGCAACCATAAGGTTATGGACAAAGATTGCGACATGGTATATAAGAATGTTTCTGACATATATAAATCTGAAGAATTTAAGACCTACGACAACTTTGTTTCGTTAGTTGCTGAATGTGTATGGCAGATAAGAGATGAAGATAGAAGAGGTAAAGTATGGAACAAACAAATAAGACCCGCTATGTTTGAGATGAAGAGAGCAATTGACGCTTTAGTTGTTTTAGCTGGTTTTATTTCAATGTATAACGCAAAAATGAACCCGCAATGTTCTAAATGTAAAGCAGCAATGAGGAGATATAACTACTCCGTCAAAGAGATAGAAAGAATGAGAAACGACTATGCAGACTTAAAGAAAGAAGCAGAAAAACCAGCAGAAGATAAAATGGACATGTTAGAATTTCTGAACAAAAACTATCCAACAGCAGAAGATTTCCTTCTATCTGACGTCAAGAAGAAATATAAAGAAACTTTCGGTATCGTTAAAACTTTTGACATACTGACAGAAGAAATAGAAGCTACGAAACTGTTTAGGATTTCAAATATACATCGTACAATTCATGTAAAACGGTTGTGAAAAAACAGGTGAAAAAAGAGGGTAGAAATGAGGTTAGATCTAACCTTCTACCCTAAACATTATTTTTGCTGAATTCAGCAACAAAAATCGTGAATTTCCTTAAGACAGAAAAAATAAAGTTAGTTTTATTTTTATTTATTTTTTTATTTTGTATGTAAAGACATATATGTCAAACATTGAGTTTGAAACAGTTAGAAAGATAGACAATGACACCAAATTGGTTAGAATAGGTGATTTAAACGTAAGATACTCAAAGAAATACAACAAATATTCTTTGTCAGACATTATATTTCCATCTGGAAAGAAAACACACGACTGGGTTAGAAATGCTTCAACTCAGAAAATTTTGACAAGAAATCCTGAGCTTATGATATCAGTAAGATTCTATGGAACTACAGCATATCTCATCGACAAAAGTCTTATACCAATAGTTTTGTTATGGATTGACCCAGTTGTTGGATATAACTTCATAACTTATGGTTCATTCGATACGGAACGTTGCAGTGAAGGCTTACTTTACATCGTTCAGAAACCGAAGGACTTCAACACAAAAAGATATAAGATAGGAAGGACATATAATATAACTCAAAGATATGACAGTACAGTCAATAGAGTCAAGGTTGTGTTCGTTAATGATATGAGAGCCGCAGAAACAGAACTACTCGAAAAGTTTGAGAAAATGTATGGTGCTCCCATAAAAGGTAAAGAAACGTTTGAAGTAGATGAGATAGATAAAGCTATAAAATTATTTGACGAAGTTGCTGAAAAATACATGTAAAGCGTTTATTTTTGGTCTTTTGTGAAAGATAGAAAAAATAACGCTAATTTTATTTTTATTTATTTTTTTATTTTGTATGTAAAGACAGATATGTCAACAACAGAGAACACAACAACTGCTATCGTTCATGAAGCCATAAATGAAGAATACGAATACATACAGTATAACACAATTGAGACTCATTCGTTCAGTCAAAGATGACATGTACCAAATGCAAAGTATAATGAATGCTCTTCTTTCTACAAAGCAAGCATATCATTGGTTTGAAAACCAACAGGCAAAAGAACTTTTAGAAGAATTTCCTCATATGATTGCTTCCCTCGGAAAACCGAGGGAAGAGATTCCGTACGAAAATCGCAAGAATTTGGCACCTGGTTTGAAAGGTTATTATGTTCATAGACTTCTTGTAAATGCTGTAGCAATGTGGGCTTCACCTCGTTATGCTTGTTATATTTTCATGATGTTAGATGAACTATATAAAGCAGAACGTGGAGAGATGGAAAAGAAACTTCAAGCAAAAGATGAAGTCATTGAATCCAAAGACAAAAGCATACAGAAAAGAATACCACGTTCAGTACCAAAAGGAAAGGAAAAGAGTTTATAAGTATATGATTTACGCTGAAGAGTTGGAGAAAGAAGAAGATAGAGATATGGTTATGTTGCATTTAGTCAGAAGAAATAACAAAAGCTTTTACGACCTTGCTAAGATTTACAAATCTGACAGAAACTGGTTCTATCGTGAAAACTTACCGATTTCAATGACACCGAATGAGCAAATAAAGGAAATTGTCAAAAATACTCTTCCTCAAACACACTATGACATCAAAGGTTGCACAATACTTACATTCAAAGAAGACTTACCATTACTGAAGGAAAAGATAACAGAATATTTCGACAACTTCAAAGAGGAAGAATAAAAAATCTAAGCTAATTTTATTTTTTTATAAAATTTTATCTCATATGAAAGAACATGAATTTAGAATATTCGGAACTCATGACAGAAGAAGAGAACGAACAACATGTAAAAGATTATGCAAAATTTCTGAAGACATACAAAGCATTTAAACAATATCTAAATGCTTCTAAAGATTATGCAAAATTTCTGAAGGTATATAAAGCTTATGAAAAAGCGTATGAAAAGTTTATACATTGGGGAATTGTTGTAAAATATCCATATGAAGACTAACAAAAAATATATTTTTGCTTAAATAGCTTCAGGGTCTATTTCTTCAACCATTTCACTTCCTTCGTCAATGTCAATAGAAGCTTCTTCAACCTTTGGTAAGAATTTCTGTATAACATCTTTGTTCGTTATTGTCTTCAGAGATGAAGGATAATATTTCACATTTGTTTCACCCTTCTTATATTCTTTCTGTTCGGAAAGATTTAAAGCAATACTGAAGAAGTCAATGTTAGAGTTCTTTATAACAGTATAATGAGTATCTTTGACATTCACGAAGAAACTCTTTTGTTTCAAAACTACTGCTAACTCTTGTGAAGTATAACGTTTGCGGTCAATGACAATAGCTAATGGTCTGACATACTGACCAAACTTAGATTCTTTCACAAACTTCTTGTTAAAGATAACATTAACGTTTGAAGCACCATTGAACTCATTCTTGATGGCAGTAGCGAGAGCATTGTATGAAAAGAACTTGCAATCTTGCATGTGTTTCATTAAAAATAAAAATATTAAATTATTTGAAAAATAACTTTAAAAAATCTAATCTAATTTTTCAAAAAAATTTTTTTATTTCCTACTAAAGATGTATCGGAAGTTGTCTAAGTTAGAACACTCGGAAATAAAACAACTTCTTACAGAAGCTAATATAGATGTTGCAAAGCATTACGCAACAAACAAAAAAGCACTCGCTGACATCCTCAATGACTATAATGGTGCAATAAGTTATGATAGAATTCATGAGTCATAAAGCCGCAACGCGGCGAGGACGAAGTTCATGCAATAGCATTTCCTTTAAATGACATTGCTATTGACTTATATCATAGACGTTCAGTACCTCATGAAGTAAGCGTGAGATGTTTGACATAACAAAATGCAAACGTTGGTGAAACAAGAAGAAGAGACGACACACTGAAACAACAGAGAAGAGAGATTTTAAAAGTGCTATAGAACAAGTTCGCAAAGCTAATAATGTCATTCGTTCCATTGACGACAAACCAAAAGAAGGTGAGAGATGGTTAAAGAAAGATGAAGAGAATAGGAAGAGAAATGTGAAGTCAGGCAATAGACTCATTGACTTTAACATCGAAGCTTTAGATGAACCAAACAGAGACTACTTACACACAAACATTTCGGTAAGGTTTTCATGAGACTCTTAGAGAAAATTAAAATAAACTCACAACAGAGATGGATGGTATGTTATAAACTTGGTGGAAAGTATGAATGTTCTACGTTAAACCTCAATAATATTGGAACATTACTACATCAGCTCTTGAAGGAGAACTTTATATCAGAGATAGAAAGCAAATGCTGCAGGTATTGTTGAAATGCACTATGACTTCTTCTGACAAACATAAAGAATCTTACCGAAATAAAGATGTATGATTTAACAGAATATGAAGGCTTAACGATGTCAGATGTAAAGAAAGGCAAACCAAAAAAGAGACCATATAGAGATGAAAGCACACTGACAAATGACCAGAAAGCCATTTTGGAAGCTCTTAAGCAAACAGGAAACCCAGCACTTATAGAAAGCTTTTGGAAAGATAATGGTGAAAGAAGTTTTATAAGAAGAGAAGCGGTCAGTTCTGGAAGTATCTTTGCACATTACCTATAAATCTTGAACGCTACCAAATTCTTCAATGAACTGAACAAAAGAACTGCAGCACTTATGACAGAAGACAATTGTTTCGTTTATGCTTGCATTCAAGCTGGAGTAGATGAAGAAACTATTGACCACATGAGAGAAGTCATTCGTGTTAGAGACTTTCCTCAAAGTAAAGTACAAGAAATTTCTGACGCAACAAGTATAGCATTTAATGTTACCATTGGTTATTTCAATGACTCAAGACATAATGAAATAAAGAGATACATACCAAAAAGAATGTGAAACTGCTCGAACTATTGACTTACTTCTTGTTGAAGACCACTACATGCTAAACGAAAGATTACCAATGACAACATATTTCATTCGCAACTATATAGAAATCTTGAAGGAGTGTGGTGGAATGAACATTGAGAAACAAATGAAGATTTATACAAAGAGAGATGGTAAATACATTGTTCGCATGGATAGAACAACACCGTTATGGGATGTTATGAAAACATTGTGGGAGTGCAAATATTTTGAACCTATTTCTTATGGAGAACTTTTCACATATACGACTGACTTATATAAACAGAACCTTGCACCATTTAAAGATTTGACATATGCTCCAAAGTATTGTGTACAACTGAAGAAGAAAGCAGAGTCAAAAGAAGTAAATAAAGCTAAATGTAAGTTCATTCCTGAGCATGTTTTCTTTGCTGACTTTGAGTGCAGTACCGATGGCTTTCATAAAGCTTTTAACATCTGTTATGACAGTGAGATGGTTCAGTGAGTGAAAGCATATGGGTCAGAACTGTGCAACAGAATTTTTGGAACGACTTCCTGACAAGAGTTTAATATATTTCCATAACCTCAGTTATGATATAAACTTCATCTTAAGACACATGACAGAAGTGAAAGGAACTCCCATCATTAAAGGTTCACGAACAATGCAAATAACTGGTTTATATAAAGGACGGGC